AGCGATTGCGGCTGCGGAGCACGCTGCGTGGTCTCCTTGACGAGGCATCTTGCGTAGGGCGACCCCGGCATCGGCAGCACGTGGGAGACGCTCGAAGTGTGGAGACGGCAGCGCGTCATCCTCCGAGAGCTCTTCAGCTGCCGCTGCAGGAAATCGTACCCGGTACAGGCCGCCTGCCAGCTGCACCGAGCCATGCACGCCTCCTCCTCGAGATCCCACACTTCGGTCGAGGCGGCCGTTTGCGCTGAGCACACACCGTCAGAGCGCCGGCCCGACGCTGTCCGCCATCGCACAAGAGGGTTGTGAGAAATGCCGAGGGAGAACATGTCGGCGCGAACAGGCGGGCTGCTGCTTTGTCTCTCACCCAGTCGTGGTCGGCGTGCTTTGAGCCGGGAGCACGATGACCCGGCGTTTTTTTTAGATTTAGAGACTCTCTTTTTTTATGGGATCTTTCCTCCCTTTTTATGAGTAGACCGGAGCAAATAGCCAGCCGAGCAGAAGAAGGTGGAGCGCGGCCGACCACTCAAAATAGGCACAAGCGACTCCGGTGGCGGATGCCGAGCCCGCGAGCCCCAGGAGGTGCTCCGACCCTACGTTGGAGACAAAGAGCGAAAGCCCTACCGCTGGCCAGCGCATACTGCGGCCCGCGAGGAAGAAAGATTCTGCTTCGTCCTGCCCACCGCCATCGCCGCCGCCGCGAGCCCAGAAGATGATGCCGACGGCGGCCATGCCGACAAAATAAAGGGCAATGAGATGTCGATCGCCTCAAGGGTGACCGGCATCACGCAGGTGTCCTGTCGCCCCGGTGTGCTCGGTGTGCTACGCGCAGCAATTCCACCAGCCGTGTGCCCACAGCTCGGTGTGCTCCACAGCTCCGCCTCCACCACACACAGTTGAGTTGGTTTGTTTTCTTTTTCTCCATCGTCCAATGAACTGACATCTCCCTTGAGTGCGAGTTAGGGCTAGCAGTAGGCCGCTAGCCTGTGAGGAGGGCGTCCATAGACACCTCACTAGACCCACACACGGTCTCGTCCGTGCCTCGCCGGCCGGCGAGATTGCTAGAGGCGGAGCGGTCTGCTCTAGTCTCACATGTTACTTCCTGCCGTCTGTTGTTTGTTGTGCCCTTGTTTGTTCTCTTGGCACCTTGGAGTGCTGGGGGGGGCGACAGGGAGGATGTCGCCTTGAGTTATGTGTACGCCTACTCAGGGTGTG